AGGGCTCGTTTCGGCGTCCCCGAGACGACCAACGAGACAAGCTAAACGAATGCGCGAGATGCGACGTGATGCGCCGAAGCTCTTGACAAGCTGACCGCCGGGGAAATCAAGCAAAGTTAACGGATCGCTGTCCTTCGCGTGAAGCGATGTGCCGCTGATCACGCGAGACTGACACCGGATCCTCAACGTATCGGAAAAATGACGTTCATGTATTGATCAACTCCTCCTTTATCAAATCACTCGTCAAATCAATCGATCGTCGGTTAATTATTTCATTTCGTGAGTGCCCTGAATATCTAATCGAAGACTAAAGAAGATCCGAGAGATCATACGGATAATCGCTCATGGAAAAAGATCGCTTATTTACCAGAAAAATAAAGTAAATTTTATATAAGGCGCACGTGTCTCTATATAGACCTGCCAATTCCATAAAATTTAGAATTCTGATATTGCGTATTACTTTATATTCTTCTCCATGCACGTGTCTCCTTATTGCACTATTAAATTCATTATGTCAAATTAGATCCAATTTGAGAGTTGTTTTTAATCATTTCTATAGTTCGCTACTGCTCAATATATATATCATTAATTTAACTAAAACAATAGATTGATTTACATTTTGATACACATAAAAGTTAAAAATAACAAAATGTCATTTAACAAAAGATCGAGTTATCGTTGTTCCTTTAACAGTATGGAATAAACGAGTCTCTCGTAGTGTAAAAAAGAACGAATACATTTCTCCAGCATTGTAGGAACGGCGAAGAAGATCTCGATTACTGTACAGAGAAAAAAATATAAATGGTCGAGAATGGTTACCGAGCTGCGCTAATTTCGACAAGAATGTGTACGCGTGGTGCGGTCCCGATTGCGAGGAGCGAAATGCAAAACGGGGACAAGGCTCGGGGAGTTTTTGTCAACAGTCCATTTAATCGCGCGTGCACAAAAGCGTGTGCACGCGTGCGGGAATGTATTTTTAGTCGTTGCCGGCGATATTTAAAGATAAACGAACCGCTTGGTACACGTACGGAGGGGCGAACCCTCAATACACCGTATGCTTGTCGTATACCGGGGATTATCGTCGAAACACGGCAAGGACGAGGGATACCTGGGTCACATAGGCCGGCACGAAAGTCTCGTTTTATAGACGGTCTCAGGCCTGCATTACCGAGGTCACGCATTTAGCTCTGCCCCATTTTTATCCCGGGTCTTATCTAAATACACGAGGATCGCGTGCAATGTTGTCGCTGATATTAGTGATCGAGTATCGGACCAACGCGTTTGAAGCTGAATGCGAGAATACGAATGCGATAATTCTAATTGCGTGACGTCATTGTCGAGACGTGTTACGCGCTCTCGTAACTCGTTTGGGATATTTTTGCGTGAGTTATTCTGGCAATGGGCCCACCAAATACTTTTCCCTCGCGTGATCGTAAAATTGCGATCGGATACGATATTTCCCGTCGTTTGTTCTCGCGCCAGTGACGAGCTATTTCGGAAAACAGAGCCGACTTCGGATTTACGATTTTCTCCTGGCCGCATTGTTTGTCGGAAGATCTCGGTGGGAAGAGGTGAACGTACTTCATGGACCTACGTAGAATTTCAGTCAAGGGAGGAGAGCAAAAATTTACCTTCATATCAAACTTATTAAAATATATACCTATGTTAAAGCCAGTTTCGAAGACTTTAGCGAATTTTCTAAGATTTCTTCTTCCAGCTTCTTTCTTTTCGCGGTCACGTTTTTCTGTATATACACTTATGTTATAGCATTACGTAGTAACAAATTAACGTTTACAATACCGTTCTATTTCAGATATGTCGATATTTCACGATATTCTGGTATTAGTTTCTAATAATAAGGTAGATGAAACTTTAGAAGTTTTCAATTCAATATACGAACACTTACAATTCACTGTAGAAATAGAAAAAGACTATCAATTAAATTACTTAGACGTTAAATTAATTAGGAAAAATGAGAAAATCATCTTTGATTCATACAAAAAATACACGTCATCTGATAGATACTTAAAATTATAATTCTGAGCATCCAGTTTCGCATAAAAAAAATATCATTATTGGTATGATAGATAAAATAATGAAAGTAGTACATCCTAGTTTTCATATAAATAACATCAGGCAAATGATCAATGGTTTATTACTAAATGGTTACCCATTGAATTTTATTTTTAGGACGATTAATAACAAAATTAAATATCACGTGGGTAACAAGAATAATAATGATAGAACAAAAAAGAATATATTACCATATAATAAATTTTTCACGATACCATATGTCAATAAGATATCAAATAAATTTTCCACTATTGCGAAAAAAATTAATTCACAATTGTCTTTTACTATACCGTATAAATTAAATAAATTTATAAAAATTGGAAAAGATAGATTAGAAAAGTTTTCAAAATGTGACGTAGTATATAAAATTGAATGTCTGGATTGTAAATCGACGTATGCAGGACAAATTAAGAAGAAATTAGGGACTAGAATAAATGAACACATAAAAGACATAAATAAAAAAAATGGCTCTCCTACAGTGGTATCAGAGCACAGATTATACGAACAACACGAATTCAATTGGGAAAATGTACATATATTAGATAGCGAGCCTTCATATCTGAAAAGAACTGTATCAGAAATGATATATATAAAAAAACGAGCATCAGAGGTTTAAATAGACAAAGCGAGATAGAACAATTACCGGATAATTATCTTCCTATTTTAGATCTATTGTCCCCCACCTAAAGACATCCTCCCTACTAAAATTGATAAGTAAAAGATCACAGCAATGTCAGTCGAAATTTAATTAGCATCGTGACAGTTACACATAGAATTATAATCGGAGAATCGATTTTCTGAGGAATCAAAGGTAACTAATATATTATATATCAAAAACTAGCAGAGTAATATATAAAAATGGTTTCAGTACAAACGATATAATAGAATTAATTGTATATGGTCAGTAAACCATGATTCCTGAGGACGATTCTGCCGCTATTAACAAGTAACTCTAAACAAATCATGAGTCCTGGGACGGTTCAGCGTGATTCCGAAGGAACTCCACAACTATTAAGTTCTACACCGTCATAAATATATAATGAACAACAAGAGCGATAGAATTCGTTAAGTATTATATTGCGAGAACTCTTATAATAATTTATATTTCACTGAGGAGGACCGTATTATAATAAAAGTCGAAACTTGTATATTGTATATGTTATTGTAATTATCATACAAGAATATAAAATTAGCACACGAAAACTTGCTTGGCTCAGATAGCCCCTCTCATTACACAATTTTGAATTGTTATTCGATTGAGCCCTTTTATCATATTAATTACGTAGTAAGTAATTTATTGATTGATGCGATTTTCCGACGTTATTGATCGCAACCAAGTTTTCACCCTTCGCAGTGTGCTAAAAGACTTTTCAATGATGCTCGTTTTGCATGGTTAATCTAAGGAAATATACAAGGTATATTTTGCTGCTGGAAAAAAGTTTCGGCTTCTCTTAACACCTTTTAACACCTCACTGAGAAAAAAGATATAGTAATGGTAACAAAAAAAAGAGAATTATTCACAAGTGCCTACTATCGTTGGATTATTTTGTTAAAATAGCAAAATACAATTTTTTTGTTAGGTAATATTGTAAATTTTTTTATTTAACAGTATAAATTTATTTGGTTATTTATATTTTGTAAATGTAAAATTGGGTTGCCATTATAAAATAAGTATTCTTTTAGTAATTTCAACAAAATAATCTATTATGGTAGAACAAGGAGCGTTTCGTGGAGTTGCAATGTTAGAGATGGCGTGTCTTCTCGTAACAGAAATTCGACGTTTATCTGTATAAAGCAGGGATTATTAGAGACTAATTTCGTGCACTTCTCGCCATACTATGGCCAATTATGCTAACAGCCATTTTTTCAGAGCGATTAGTAATCAATTGATGTACCTTTGTTAAGCTAGGGAAGTTCAAAAACGCCAAACATAATTTCATTCTGTAGAAAGCGAAAGATTTACATATATTATTCTTATGTAATTATTTTGTTTCGGTAACAAAATGTTCTATTTCTAAGTACAAAAAAATCTATGAACATCATATAAAACAGTTTTGTATCATTAAATCGCTGTTTTAGAAAATCTATTAAAAAATCTAAGCAAGGAATTATCAGTGACTTTTTCTTAATTCCTTATACCAATTCGCAATGATGTATTTTGTAGCTTAAAACATTATAAAATTGAAAACATTATTTTTAGTAAAAACGATACGTCCTTTCTTCTATCGTCATTTACTTCATCGTCGTTTACTTTGTGATCCATTCATACCATGCTATTTGGAAGGTTCCTGTGATTGTCAAAAGCCGCAAAGAATAGCGTCTCGTAAAAAGAAATTCCCTTCACTTTCTTCTTTCATTCTTTCGACTACGCGAAGGCAATAAACGATAATTTCAGAAGATTACTTTAAGACCGAAAGCGGTCGTGCAGAGAACCTTTCACTAAGACCATCGACTGATGATCGAGGATGAACGAGGAGAAATTCTTGGAATCTAATTTGAGAATTCTAGGACTCGGAAGAAGGACGCAGCTATTATTCTTTTTCGTGAAAGATACGAATCAAGTCGCTAAAATGATATTGATAAAGATCACGTTGTGTCGCTTTGATTCTTTCAAGAGTCAAATGCTTATCGTGAGTTGATTGATGATTGATCCATGTTATAAATGGTCCTGACTGAGATATTTTTCACAAAAATTATTTACAGGTTTTTAAGATGCTTATCAGCATTAAAATTATCAGTCTAACGTGGGATATTAATTTCAGCTTCATTTTGCAATTATGTTTCAAGTCAGACAAACCGTATCAATTGTAGTTTATAAAACTAAAATAATATATTTGCAAAAATATGCATTTAGTATTATTAAGCACTAAGACCGAAAATAGAATTATTTCTATTAATTGATAAATGGTTTATATGTTATTTTTTAGGGTGGATTTGCGAGGGTTTACCTAATGACCGATGTCAGTAATGGGAATCAGTACGCGTGTAAGATTATTCCGAAGAATCGAATGCAGAGGATTCACATGCAGAAAGTGCGTATGTCTGTTTAGTGAAAAGCACGCATTTATATTTATTTCGCTGTGTAACGCGTGTTTTTTTATGCTATTTGTAGATCGCGCGTGAGATCATGATCCACAAAGAGTTGAATCACGTAAACGTCGTCCAGATGCATCATTACTTCGAGGACAATCTCAACGTGTACATGCTCCTAGAGGCCTGCCCACGAAAGGTATCGTATGTCTTCTACTTGCCTTACCAGTTTATTGTTTCCTACCACTGCACGCGTACGAGAAAAAAATTTCGCAACTCTTTCCACATTTACGACCGAGAATACATCTATGCTGGGAAAAACTCGACGACCGACACTCGGTCGTTGTGTCGTAAATTATTTAAACTGCCAACAGATATTGACAACTGAAGTATCAATAAAGAGTGTTGATCCCTTATTTTATCCTTCGTTCAGTACTAGAGCGTCTTTAACATCTTTGTCTGCCGTTGCCCTCTCGTAAAGTTGTTTTCCAAGTTCTAGTCTATTTCTATTGCGCCATGAAACACCTGCCCGATTTAAATCGACGTGTCGAAGTCATTCTGCACGCCGTACCCGAGAAACAATTATGGACATCCATCGTACCTGTCTGCGAACGGCCCTTGATCAGCAACGGCCGCGTATATTTTCATCTCGCTGGAAAGAGAGCGGCACTTGCACTCTTCATGGCTGATCTGCCCGACCTGTTTGTACCGTTAGGATGCGACGAAGCATCCACTAATCGTTTGATTATCCTCGCTCTCTCGCTCAATCGACTTCACGAACGCGAGTTTCATCTTAGTTCGCTGCTGGATCACGAAAGGATCATCCCTTAATTGACGATTTAAGTGATTAAAAGTCTATTAGAAATTCCTTAAGGAGATTCGATAGACATATATAGCACATACGTAATATTTGTATAAACAAACTATATACATATATATATATTATATGAAAGTTGTGTTTATTCTATTTTTATTGCACAACACATTTTATAGTTTATTTACTTTATTTGTTATTATTTTTATTGTAATAAACTAAAATTTTAAAAAATCATAACAAAAATCTAAAAGTGTTTTTGAGTAAGTCCTTTATTCAAAATGATTTATGCAAAATTTTATTGCGATTTACCGTCAATTAGTTACAAAAATTTAAACAACTGGACAACTAACTTCTACATCACAATGTAACTTTATGTAAGTTATTTTGAATACTTAAAGTACTTATATAAAAAATTGAGATTTTTATCATTATTTTATAACGTATTCCTATACATCTCTATTAGAGCACAGATTGAGAAAATACTACTTAATAAATACTTAGTTACTTTAATAAAAAAATATTTCTTATTAAAGTAACTTTTAATCCAGATGGTAAACCATCATTAAAAAAAAAGTTTGTTATATTATTTTTAAATTAGATCTAGGAAACATAATTGTGAACTATAGCGAAAATAATAATAATGGATTGTTAAAAAAACCGTGTTGAAAGCTGATAGCTGTAGTTTCGAGGAGCTCATAAAGAAGAATATTTCGTATCTCGTTCATAACATTTAACGGAAAAAATTTATTCATGTTTCCATGTCGTGTCGCAAAATAGCCTCATAAAGTCTTCTCATTTCGTCGAAAGCTTGCATTTTAAAGAAACAACGTCAACCACAAGTTAGCAAGTTTATGATCGTGACTGGCGTGAAAAATGCAGATGCGCTTTCCCGAAATGTTTCTACCGAATCGCAGATAAAACGATTCCTCCAAAATAAAGCGACACACAAGCTACAGAATAACATTGTTCGAAAAATGCACTTGTATTCCATACATTCGAGATGACTATCTTCCTGCCAGGAAATGCTTTTTTTCTCGTTTGTTCTCTTTTTAAAAGAGTTATAAGTGGCCATTACACAATCTTCTGTAATATATAGTTTATACTTTCCTGAAATTTCGTTATAGGTTTTTATATAATATTATGTTTATTACAGTCCATTGTATCATCTTCAAAGATTATAAGATTGCAGACACAAAGAAAACGTACATAAAAAGTAAAGAGTACAAAGTAAATAAAAAATCTATATAATAGTTCTCGTTACGTTTTATCGTGCCATTCTTCCGTCAGGCGACTTTCTGCACGTCATTAAACGCGCGAAGTAAGCTACCCGGATATAAAAATACCATCTTCTCCTCTTCTTCTCTGCCAGAGCTTGATGCACGTGTTGAAGTACCGTGGCAAAGTCACGGAACCGGAAGCACGTTACTACATGAAGCAAATGGTGACCGGCGTCGCGTACATCCACTCGCAGAAAGTCGTGCACCGGGATCTGAAGCCCGGCAATATGTTCCTATCGGACCGGATGATCGTCAAGATCGGCGACTTCGGATTAGCGACCAGGCCTGACGGTCAGCGTAGACGAGTGTAAGGCTCAATTTAATTGTAATCCAAGAAATACATATTCTTCCTTTGCATTAAGAATTTTACTTGTTATTAATTATGTTATTTGAGATAATTTTTTAGCAATTTTTAAACTTCATTAACATCAAATTATATTAATATTATAACGTGCTTATTAGCGTCAATATTATTAAATTTAATATGTTACTATTCTAATTCTATTCATGATTGCGTTTCAAGACGGAAAAAGATTTCGGCGCGCGATTTGCAGAATTGAATATGTATATAAATTCACACCGAAGTATTTAAGCACTAAGATTTGCTTTGAGCAAAAACAGTTTTCTTATCGGTATTCTTATTGGTCCATTTTTGTATCATAATTGTTTGTTACTTAATTCATTTTGTTATTTAATTTGTAAATATGTTACAGTTTATAAAAATTGAGAGCAAAAAGCACATGATATTGATCTAACTGACAATAATTGGACCTCTTACAATCCCTTTTTTGTTATCATTATTTTTATATCGGTATCTTAACGACCCTCCTCGGCAAAAACATACAAATATCGGAGATCCCTTTTCCGGAGCTCCTAAGACGATTGTTACGCCTGGACGTGCTTGTCTAAACACAGGCAACTAGCGGCATCAACAAAACCTCGTAGCATGTAGCCAATTTGTATCCACAGGACGATATGCGGCACGCCAAACTACATCGCTCCGGAAGTGCTGTACAAGCAAGCGTACAGTTACGAGGCGGATGTTTGGGCGCTGGGCTGCATATTGTATGCCTTGCTGGTAGGGCAACCACCCTTTGATACAGCCACGCTTAAGGAGACTTATGCCAGGATCTGCAACAACCATTATCGTGAGGTTGACGACAGTATCGCGAGTAGAAGTGGCCAAGACTTGATCAGATGGTTGCTGCAATCTAATCCCGAGTTACGACCGAGTCTAGAGAGGGTGAAGGAACACGTCTATTTAACCAAGGAATACGTGCCAGCATCTTTACCCCACACTTGCTGCTACCAAATGCCACCGGCATCAATCATCGAGCCACCCTCGTCACCATCCTCGGTATCTACGGTCGCTAGAAATCCAGAAATTAAGGCACAGGTGAATAACTTGATAATTCGTTTGAAAGATTTTTGACGGATATAGCTGGCGGATCTTTACGAAATCCGACAAATTATTAAGATCTTTTGAAGATGCCTATGAACATCAATACTATTAAATTGCTTATCAATTTAATTTGTGATATTACTACTCTAGTTCTGTTAGAATTGCGTTTCAAGAAAATTAAATTCAGTTTGCAGGATCAAACATGTAGTATATAAATTCATACCGAATTATTTAAAATTTAAACACAAGAGATCCAGCTTGATCTTTTAGGGCTTTTGTTCTCTATTCGTTGTATATTCATATTACGGTCTGAAAAAAGATAAAAAAGGTACTTTATTTAAAAAAAGATACTTTTGTTTAATATATTGTTTAAAATCCATAAAAAATTCATAAAATTTCAGCTATGGCAGCAGAGTCTCGTTTATCCTGACTCATTGCGTTATCAACAGACGATTCCG